TATCAGAAAATTTAACACCTGAATAAATCAAATGACAATGATCATATACGTTAAATAAAAATAAAAACCTTATTGTACTATACCACAGGAAACTTTAACACTTAAATATTAGAATGAACGTAAAAATTCATGCATTTATTGTTTTATAAACTGCATAATGTATTATTTTGTTTAGAGAAAATTTACTTTGGAAATAATATTTAAAAAAGAAATGCACACAAATTTTGTATTCATTTTAATAAATCAAATAATAATGATCACATTCGTTATATAAAAATACAAACAATATTGTACGTATCAGAAAATTAAGCACCTGAATAAATCAAATAACAATGATCATACAAATTAAATCAGAATAAAAATATTATTATACATACCAGGAAACCTTGCAAATGGTACTCTAATACAAGCAATATCCATTTTGGTAAAATCTTCGTCGTCCTGTACCCAACACATGCACATTGTATTAAATTTACACAATGCATTGTAAGATCCGATCACGTTGTGAACAAAATTGATAAAAATAATGACACAGATCAAACTAAATTCTTTCCACGATGACATCTACAAACAAAAAATATATTTTATTTCATTGTTTTTAAATAATTCACGCACATATTTTTCAATGAAAAATAATTATAAATAATAAATAAAATTGATATGAGATGCAAACCTTAACAATGTTGAATTAACGAAACAATAATTGAGCTTTCAATGATGAAAGCACAAATAACTCGTTCAACGTATTCTTTCAAAAACATCCTAATCTGTCAATTATCATAATCTCTCTCTTTTGTTACAATCGTGGATTGAAGTAAACAAGAAAATTATTATTAAATTTCTTTTCAATTTCATCGATATACATGCAAGCACACATTCGCGAAATGTATACTACTAAAAAGCTTAGTTTTCCTTTCTAAAGCGCAAGTGCATTTCATTATGGACACCCCCGCGCAAACGCACTAACGTTTCAATTTTATGGATCGCGAAAAGGGATGAGTGTGAGAGAGAGAGAGAGAGAGAAAATAAAAGTAGTATAAAAGGGGAACAAAAAAAATAAGAAAAAAAAAAATCGCTTACTTATTCGTTCATTGTAACATTGACCATCGTGAAAAAAAGCTTGAATGAACTTACGTATATTTGAACACGTTTAAAGAAAATATGATTCTATGGGATTATGATTTTTTATATTTTTATATATTCTGTTCAAAAAATATTTTTTTATTTTACAATAAATTGTGTTACGTTTATTTGATTTATTTTATTCGATTTTTGTCA